CCCCCCCGTCTCCCAAAGCAAGTCCTGTTTTGAGAATGAAGAGGGCAGAGCAGAGGTTTTGGAACCAGGATGGTTTGGGTTTGGGGCTGAGCAGGGCCAGGGCTGCTGGGTGATGGCGGGAGCAGCCTGCAATGTGGCAGCCTGTCTTCTGTGCGCCCCCTTGTGTGTACATTCTTGCACAGTCACACACGTGGCCTGGCCTTGCACTTAATGTGCACTTTGGCGGAGGGGTGGGGCCAGTGCAGGGAGGCAATGGATGTGGGCTCGAATCCTAGCACCCCCTCTGTTGGTGTGAGTACAGGTCATGCGACCTGCCGCTCATCCAGCTCTGTGGGAATGGTGGCTGTGTTGTTATAGAGCTGCTCCGAGTGTAATCACATATGTACCTTGACTGTCATGAGACGTGTGCTCAGACCATAGCTGTGTGTGTGTGTGGGGGGTGGGGGTGGCTACTGCCATTTAACAGCAGGGAACATGGGAAAGGAGCTCCATGTCTGAGCCCTCACCTTCCCAGCTGTGGAAGGGTGGTTAGTAAGAGTGAGGGTCACAGCAGAGTTGAGACCAGAGTGTGAGAGCAGCCTGGAGACTCTGCTTCCGCCCTCAGCGCCACCTCCTCCGACAGCCCCCTGTCCCCGGCATGGATGACGGCATGTCCTACCAGGCCCCTCCCCAGCAGCTGCCAGCAGCCCAGCCCCCTCAACCCTCCAACCCCTCGCATGGGGCTCATGCCCTGAACAGTGGCCCCCAGCCTGGGACAACCCCAGCCACACAGCACAGCCAGGCTGGTCCCACCTCCGGCCAGGCCTATGGGCCACACACCTATACCGAGCCCGCCAAGCCCAAGAAGGGTCAGCAGCTGTGGAACCGTATGAAGCGTAAGTGGGCAGCGCAGAGAAGCCAGGGTGAGGGGCTAGACAGCACAGTGCCTGGGCAGGAGGCATAGGGTACTGGGATCGTCCTAAGGCCTCGGGGTGGCCTTCTGGAGCTGGGCCTGCCATTCGCAGGGGGCTGGGGTACGCCTAACCCCAGCTTTTGATGCCCCTCCCTCACCCACCTCCAGCGGCCCCTGGGACTGGTGGTCTCAAGTTCAACATTCAGAAACGGCCGTTCGCTGTCACCGGCCAGAACTTCAGCTCCACCTCAGAGGGCCAACACAGCGGCTTTGGCCCCCAGCCCAACTCCGAGAAGGCTCAGAGCCACAGGTGATGGTGCCTTGCCCCTGTCGTCAGCATCCCTGTGCAGGTTCTCCTCCAGAGGGCAGGGGTCGCTCCCTCTGGGTTGCTGTGAGCATTAACTGGGAGGGAAAGAGAAATGCTGGGGTTGAGTCTGCATGGGCATCAGCTCATGGAGTAGTGGCGGTGCCATGCTTCTCTGGTGTAGGCGCTCCCCAGCTGAGTCCCCACATTTGCCCTCACTCAGGGGGAGCCTGTCTGGGAAGCCGGACGACTGGCCGCAGGACATGAAGGAGTACGTGGAGCGCTGCTTCACGGCCTGTGAGTCGGAGGAAGACAAGGACCGTACGGAGAAGCTGCTCAAGGAGGTGCTTCAGGCCCGGCTCCAGGATGGCTCTGCCTACACCATCGACTGGAGCCGGGAGCCGCTGCCAGGGTGAGTCTGGCCTGGAGACAGGCCAGGGCTGCCTGGGTGCAAGGTAGGGCCAGGAGGGTGGAGCCAAGGCCCCTGAGGCTGGCTGGTGAGTGCCTGGGTGATTGTGCCTTTCCTGCCCAAGGTGGTGTGTCCCTGGAGCAGGTGGTGGATTGGGTGGGTGGGGGCCTGGGTTGGTGACATCCTACTCTGTCCTCAGGCTGACACGGGACCCTGTGGCGGAGAGCCCTAAGAAGAAGCGGTGGGAGGCCCCCAGCAGCCTGCACCCTCCCAGGGGGGCAGGCACCGGGACCAGGGGCGGGGGAGCCCAGTCACAGCGAGGGACCCCAGGGGCTGGGGGTGCTGGCCGAGCACGGGGCGGCAGCTTTGCCAAGTTTGGGAACCGCAACGTCTTCATGAAGGACCGCAGCAGCTCCTCCAGCACGGAGTCCCGCTCCCGCTCCTCCTCCCGGTCCCCGACCCGGCACTTCCGCCGCAGGTATGTACAGGCTCAAGTGGGGGGACCCTCGGGGAGCAAGCTCAGCCTCACCTTCTGTTGCTTCCCCACAGTGACTCCCACTCGGACTCGGACAGTTCCTACTCAGGGAATGAATGTCAACCTGTGGGTCGCAGGAACCCGCCCCCCAAGGGCCGGGGAGGTCGGGGGGCCCACATGGATCGGGGCCGAGGCAGGGCCCAGCGAGGGAAGAGGTGAGCCTTTGTATGGGTGACCATGGAGGGGGTGCTGTGCCCTTGAGCAGCATTGCAAAGGCCTGGGATGCGCAATGCCTGTCTCCTTCACCAGCACTCTCCCCTACCTCCCAGGCATGATCTGGCCCCCACCAAGCGCAACCGCAAGAGGATGGCGGCGCTAGAATGTGAGGACCCCGAGCGCGAGCTGAAGAAGCAGAAGCGGGCAGCTCGCTTCCAGCACGGACATTCCCGCCGTCTGCGCCTTGAGCCCCTGGTGCTACAGGTGGGCGGCCTGGAGAGCAGTGGGGGTGACCCCGACTGGCAGGAGCTGCAGATTGTGGGCACCTGCCCCGACATCACCAAGCACTACCTGCGTCTCACCTGTGCCCCTGACCCGTCTACTGTACGCCCTGTGACTGTAAGTGCTGGGAAGGGCAAGGGCTTGGCTGGCCGGGTGGGCACTATGAAGGTGAACTGAGGACAGCTTGTGCCTCCGAGCCCTGAGAGTTCTGGAGACCTGCCCAGCCTCTGGGTCCTACTTGAGATGGAGAGGACTCTAGAGTCCTCACTGAGGCCAGGGACAAGGCTATGAACATTCGTCCCAGGCCCATGCCGGCCAGGTGCTGATGCCAGGACTGGGCTCAGGAGCATTTCCTCTCACCACCTTCTGGGTTCTTTCTCACGGGTGGGTCACTAAGCGGGTTTGGTGTTGTAGCCCTCATTTCAAACACCAAGTTAGCGGGACTTAACAGGATTTGGTGTGTTCCTGCTCTGCCTGCTGGTTACTGAGCCTCCAGAGTGACTGCTTTTCAGGTATTGAAGAAGTCACTGTGCATGGTCAAGTCCCAGTGGAAAGAGAAGCAGGACTACGCCTTTGCCTGCGAGCAGATGAAGTCCATCCGGCAGGACCTGACGGTGAGGGGGTTGAGGGCTGGGGGACCCTGTGGTGGGGCACATCCTGCCCTGCTCTGGCCTGACTCCTCTCCCTGCTGCCGCAGGTACAAGGGGTGCGCACTGAGTTCACGGTGGAGGTGTATGAGACGCACGCCCGCATAGCCTTGGAGAAGGTGAGTGGGCTGATGGGCTTCTCCTGGGCTCCTTCTGGGCTTTTTCCCAGTCTCACTCTGCTCCTCTTCTCCCTCCACGCCCTGCCCCCCACCTGCCAGGGTGACCACGAGGAGTTCAACCAGTGTCAGACGCAGCTTAAGTCACTGTATGCAGAGAGCCTGCCTGGCAATGTGGGCGAGTTCACCGCCTACCGCATCCTCTACTACATCTTCACCAACAACTCGGGAGACATCACCACAGAGCTGGCCTACCTGACTCGGGAGCTGAAGACAGACCCCTGTGTGGCCCACGCCTTGGCACTGAGGGCAGCCTGGGCTCTGGGCAACTACCACCGCTTCTTCCGGCTCTACGGCCATGCGCCCTGTATGTCTGGCTACCTCATAGACAAGTTCGTGGACCGGGAGCGCAAGGCTGCCCTCAAGGCTATGATCAAAACGTATGTGCAGCTGGGCTTCCCCTGCCACTCCTCTTTTCCCCTCACACATTCCTGATGAACAGGCCTCTAGCTCCCATCCTGGCCTGTCCCGTTCCCCTCTTCCCTTCTCCTCCCCTCCTGTCCTTTCTGCTCCCCTGTGCTCAGCCACCCCTCTGTTCTGGCCCTCCTGTGGTCTCTTCTTCCATTATATTCTCTCTCTCTTTTCTCTCTCTGTCCCTCTCTCTGTCTTTGTCTCTCTCTGCCCCCCCCGCCCCCCGTCTTTCTCAGCTCCGGGGTTCCTTCACCCCTTGATGCTCGTCCCACTCACATCACATGGGACCCTGGCTGGTCTGCTCCAGGCTGTCTGCCTGTGAGACCTCTCTGCCTTTTCATGACTCTCCTGTCATAACTGCTGTCTAGAGACAGACTAGAAAATAGGGCCCTGCTCTTGGCAGCTTCTGGTGTGGTATCACTGGGCCCCGTTCCTGCTTCAGTCCTTCGAGGGGCAAAACTGTGAGAAACGGGCGAGACGCCAGGCAGGCTGGGCCTGGGTGGTCCTCAAAAGGGCATGCCCTCCGTGTGCTTGCGAGTGTGGGGAACTCGTGGGTCTCAGGGCAGTGAGTCCCCCAGGGAACATAGGCAGTGTTAGGAGGTATCTTTTGTTGTTAAAACTGGGGGGCTACTGGCCTGTGGTGGGTAGAGATGTGGATGCTGCTGACCAGCCCGCAGTGTGCACGGCGCCCCGCAGTACATAATCGGGCTCCCTGCCAGTCTGTCCCAGGGGGTTGGTCAGGGGTTGGTGCTTACAAGGGGCCTTGAATGCTACATCTGTCAGCTTGAGAGCCACGGGATGGTTTGGAGCTGAGAAGGGACGGTCAATGTGAAAGTTAGGGACACACTCTAGGGCCACAGCATTAGAGAAGAGGTCATGGGGAGGAAACACGTAGGGTGGGGATGCACAGGCCTGCTTACTGACCAGCAGGGAGGAGGGGTCAGTATGCCCCTCTGAGTCCACCCTCTACGGCTGGGCGGCCCCTGCAGGGTAGCTCCCGAGCTGCCCCGTGCTTGCGGTGCATAGCTGGTCCAGTAACTGTTCCCTTGTTAGTTTATGTACTCAGCGTTGGGCAGGGGTAGATGGCCTAGTGCCTATGGGAGGGGCCTGGCCTATTCTTGGCCGCCTGCTCACACCTTCCCACTTCTGAAGTTAGCGTTGCCTTTTCTGGGCAGACATGTCCTGCCATTCCCAAACCAGGTCCCTGCAGGGTGCTTAGGCCAGCTCAGGTGGGGGCAGCAGGCTGTCCTGTACCCATGGACAGCCAGGGCTGGAGCCACACACGGGCCTGAGGCAGGACCGGCTTAAGTACTTTCTGCTACTTGCTTCCTAGGTGACACTAGATAGGTGGCTGTGCCGAGACCTGCAGGTTCCTGTGTTGTGAGGGTGGGATGAGAGCTTCTGGCAGAATTCAGTCAGTCAGTGTGACAGCGCTGGGGACAGCTGTCTCCAGGCCCAGGCCCAGTGTGCAATTAGGAGTGTCTCTTGTTGACAACCAGATTTCCTGTGTGAGATGTATAGTGAGCTCTGGCTGGCACTTGTGCCTTGGGTGTCCCTGAGGCACTTGGACGCAGGTTTGGGGTCCTGTGAGGGCTGGGCCCCCAAAGTAGTAGTCATCCTGCTGTCCATGGGCTACTCTCTGCCTGGCCCCTGCCCCTCAGCCACAGTGGCCCTCTTCTGGGGGACTGCTTAGCTCCTGGAGCAGTGGGAAAGTCGGCTGGGCCCTTCCCTCCCCCCTCCTTCCCAGCCCCCGCACAGGTAAGTAAGGGTAAAGGGGGCACAACTGGGGTTGGGGCCACCAGCCTCATCCCAGAGCCCCCCAAGCCCCAGAGGTGGGGAGGTGGGGGTATGGGGTGGGGACCAGAGGTCAGCAGGTAATGTGCTGAGGAAACCCTTTGGGTGTCTGAAAGGGGGGCACCCACGCCCTGTCCGTGGGGCCCCTGCCCGCGGCCTGCCTCATCACATTCTCCTCTTGTCTCCGTAGCTTCCGCCCTGCGCTGCCTGTCTCCTACCTGCAGGCCGAGCTGGCCTTCGAGGGCGAGGCCGCCTGCCGGGCCTTCCTAGAGCCCCTGGGCCTGGCCTACACGGGCCCGGACAACGCCAGCATCGACTGCCGCCTCAGCCTGGCGCAGCTGTCCGCCTTCTGAGCACCACGCGAGGGGGTGGGGGGCAGGGCTGTGGCCCCTACTGCTGCCTCTGCAGATTTTGTTTTTGAGCCATGGACTTGGGTTGTATATTAATGTGGGGAGTGGGCTCCAGGAAGAGCCACCATCCCTGTCCCCCGTTTTCCTACCGGGGAATCTGTACAGAGATTTTTTTCTACGTTTTTATTTTTTGCCTCAGAGNGATGGGGAGGAGGGGTGGGGCAGCGGTGGGTTGGGGGCTTGGTCTGTCCACCCTGCACCTCTACTAATGCTGTCTCAGTGTTTTCTCTCTCTCTCTCTCGAGCTTGTACTCCGGTACCAACCCGGCACCCTGGCCCATCCCATGCCGGGGGGCCAGCGGAAGAAGACAGGCTGCTCCGCCCGTGCCCGCNGCGGCGGGGGCACCAGCACGCTGCCCGCCGCTCATCACCCGTCGCCCATCTGCCTACCTCACCACAGACTCTTGTTGCCCAGCCCTCCGGGGCCTCAGTGCTCGGGGCGCGAGGAGCCGTAGAGACTGTGCCCTGCCCTCGGCTCCTGCCCCAGAAATGCCACCACCACACCAGGCCACCAGCAGATCCACATCGCCACCCATACTGAGGACTCCGGAGGCATCGCGGGACCTCACCGGCCGGGCCGCCTCGTCTGCAGTTGTACTAAGTTGTCTCGTGTCCCCTCCTCCCTCCACCCCAGTGTTTCTTCTAGTTTTTTTTCCCCTCCCTCCCTCTTCCCCCTCCTGCTCCTCCCTTGGTTCAGCACAGGTAAACGGTTCCCCCTCCCCGCCTTCATGGATCACCAGCTCACGTCATGTTTCCTTCTCGTTTCTTTTTGTGTGTTTATTTAAGTTATTTTTCCTTCTTCCTCCCCTTTTCTTTTCGCCCTCCCTCCCTCTTCTGCCATGTAACTGGAGGTTGTGCAATGAGTTTGCAAACAGCTGGACTGTCAGGCTGCTTTTTTTCCAGATATTCCTTCTCTGCCTCCCCTCCCCTTCCTCTCCCCTCCCCTTTCTTTCCTTCATTCTTTCTTTGGATCACTGAGCACGTTTGGAAGCTTGAGAAACCAAAATTAAAGAGAGAGAGCGAGCGTGTGCTTTGTTCCTCCTGCTTGGACTGCACCTCCTCCTCCAGTGTGTGGGATAGATCAGATTCATCTACCCTAGAGGCCTGAGACTGTCACCCAAGGGGGATCTCAGCCAGGGGCTGGTAGGTGCCCCCTGCCCTCCCCATGCGGCACAGCCAGAGTTGTCTCAGGAACTGGCTCCCCAGCTCCTGTCTTGGGCTGGACCCAGGCGTGGGGAGGTGGGCTTGGGAGCCCTGGGGCACCTTGGCCAGTGTGAGGTGGGGGTGCAGCCCCCCCAAGGGCTGTAGCACTCTGAACCCCTCAGCCTCCAGCCTCTGGCTTAGCACTTGGGCCATGTTTTCCAGGGAGGGGGAGGGTGGTGCACAGAGCACATGGGAGCCTAGAAGCACCACCTGCTTAAACCTCAGCTGCGGAGGTACCCGAAGTCCCGGATCCGAGAGAGCGCGTTTGAGCGCGCTGACGGCGGCTACTGTCTCCCCGGGGCCCGCGAGCCGCAGCAGGGCCAGTGTCAGGTGCAGGGCTTCGGGGGGCACCATGAAAGTAGCGCACGATGGCTCCGCTTGGACCAGCTCTTTCTGGGCCTTGGCCACCCCTGCCTGCAGCCCGGGGTCTGTCACCATGAGGGCCACAAAGTGTGTAGGGCGAGGCTGGCGAGGGGCTGTGGCCCTGGCCACGGTGGCCTCTCTGCCGTCTTCGGGCCACGCCGCGGGACCCCACCGCACTTGACACCCTTCTTTTGTCTCGGAGAAGTCATCCAGGGGCCGCCCTGGGGCCACCAGAGTCTGGGGGTCTCCGGTCCTAGCTTTGGCGGCCAGCTTCAGGGTCCTTTTGGCCTCCAACATTGGGGAAGCCTCGCTTCTGGCCCCGCCCTGCTCCTGGGCCTTCACAGAAGCGCCTGCCAGCACCAGGCTCCCGGCTTTGAGGCCTGTCCAGGGTGGCTGTCCGAGCCCTCCCGATGGGGCGTCAGAGAGGGGCGCAGCCACGCAGTACGGCGCCTCCCGGGTGCCAGGTGGGTCAACTCTCTGCTCTTCCCCGCCATCGCGCGCAGCCCTGGTTCCATGCGCGTCCTCGTCGTGCACATCTCCGGCCTCGTGCGCGTCCCCGCCGTCGTGCGCACCCCTGGTTCCATGCGCGTCCTCGTGCACGTGTCCCGTCTCGTGCGCGTCCTCGTCCTCGTGCACGTCTCCGTCCCAGAGCGCGTCTCCACCGTCCAGGGCGTCCAGGATGGTGGGCCCGCGGCCCTCCGCAGAGCCGGAGCCAAAGACGAAGTCGGTGCGCGAGGCGCGGTCCCACACGGTGCGGCCGCGGAAGCGGAAGTAGCGAACGCGGTGCTCCGGCACCGCCAGCACGCCCGGCCCGAGCGCCGCCAGCGGCTCGTCCCAGCAGAAGGCGCCGAAGGGCTCCTCGACCACGCCCAGGAAGCGGTCGGCGTAGCCCACCGAGAAGTCGGCGGGGTCCAGGCGCGGGTCCCAGCGGATGCGCTGGATGACGGCCGCGGCGGTGCGCAGCGGTGGCTTTTTGATCCCGGCCCCGGCTTGGGCCGGCGCCCCGGCCTCGACCTCAGCCCCGCCGCCAGGCCTAGGCC